CACGTGGGCCTGTGCGAGCTGCAGTTCCAAGGCGCACAGGCCAGCCTGGTGGCCCTGGCTGACATGCCGCCCTTCAGCAAGGAGATCGGTGCCCTGGTCAGGATGCACGAGGCGGCTGACAGCCATTGACAGCCCCAAACCACCATATACGACCCATTTCGACCTCTACAAAATCCCAATAAAATCTCAACATTTCAGACAGAATTCACAGACGTCCCAAACCAGTGAATACTTGGTGATACTTGGTGTCTTGGGCATTACGCGTGGATACGCGTGGATGATGTTGGCTGCCTCATCTCGCGATGGTCCCTGCAGGCCACGGAGAGCGCAGATGCCTCGACTGAGGCTGCGGAGGCGTATGGTCCAAACGTTTCGCGACGTGGTTTGTGAGTGACGGTTGGCATCGGTTGGCCCGTCACCTGGTGAGTTAAGGGAATCAGAGGAAAAAACGATCAAACACGTGTGGATACGTGTGGACATTATATATGACATTATCGTCGGAGGGTAAACCATGGTAAGCCAATCACACACCAACCTCACATAACCTCACCCAACCTCACCATGTTTCGGCAGGCCCCGTCGCGCGTGGACGCCTTGGATGAGGCAGCAGAGCCCAGGCCACTGCAGGACGAAATGCGCGCTGATGCCATGGCTGAGTCTGCGGAGGCCTGGCCATCCCAGGATATCCCAAGCGTTTGGCGAAGGCTTCGCCAGTCTCAGCCCCCCACAAAATCCCAAATACGTGACATATCGACGAGGAGTTTGTGATGTTGGTGATTGTTGGCCGCCATTGAGGTAAACTGACACGCTGGCCATCATTGGCCCATGATGGCTGTGAATATCGGTGAACAGTAGTGACAAAAGTGTGGACGCATGTGGACGATTGTGGACGCCACGGTTGGGGATTTTTTCCGGGGGGCGCAAACTTCAACAGCTAGCCGAGGGTGCAAACCGAAGCAACAGCCGCGGGGGTGGAGTTGGTGCAGCTAACCGTGGAGCTGACCAAAGATGCCCGGCGAGCCATGCGCAACCTGGAGGGCAAAGGATGGGTTCCTGGCGCCTCGCCTTCAAAAAAAAGCCATCATGCAGCTGTGGTAAATTGTATCAATTGTCGTAGGATGTCGTAGGTAATTTCAATTAATTTCACCTGGTGCGGAATGCTATGGAATGCTGCCGTATGCTGGTGCCTCCCATGACATTGCCATGCCCTATACCACAGCCTACCGCGAGCTTCCGTCATCTTCCATGTTTTTGTCCCTGGAGGTGAGGCGTATTGAAGCGTTCCTGAATGTTGATGATTTGTTGACGGTGCCTGACTGTTCTTGCCTTGGATTCGCCACGACTTGCCATGATTTCCCCTCCCTGCTCATGATGCCACGGTTATTCCTAGTGGTTTCTGGCGAGCCTGGTCGAGCCATATGCAACCAAGTTGAGATATGTTGAGCCTAGATTTGAGCCTTTCCCCGGAACTCATGATGGGACATGATGGGACAGATGCCGTGTCGTGGGAGTATGTGGGAGTGTTTTCGCATGTTTTCGCATGTTTCGCGAAGGAGTTGTGATGAGTTGTGAGTTGAAGTTGCGTGGTTCTTTGTTCCCTGACATGCCCATTCTTGCGAGGGGCGATGGGGGGGGTTGTGCTCGGAATTGCTCGGATGAATTCGGTTGATTTTTTTGAATTCGGAATTGCTCGGATGAATTCGGCAAAGCAGACAGCGACTGAAATCGACTGAGCGCGACTGAGGTATGACGCCAGCCACTGGAGACGACCAGAAGCGGGTGACCATTTACACTTCGGGCAGTTTCCCGAACACGCAGTGAAGCAGGAGCCAGATCCAAGGCTACATGCGTGTGTGCGAACGGCTCTACCGGGATTTGACTGGCAAGGACTTGCTGGACAGCCAGGGCTGCGTCAAATGCTTGTCCAGGACATCGGCGGTGTCGTGGGCAGACGTGGTGGCCAGAACACCTGACTACTTTCAGACGGCTCTTTGTGCTAAGCCGATGTGCTGTGCGCCTGCCAAAGCCAAGGCGTCACTTTCCGGGGCTCAGTTCTCAATGGGGGTATGGCAGCGCTTCAACGCTGTCGCGCCAACCGCGCGCAACACGGCCAAGCCTTGGCTAAAGTTTCTGGGGGAAGTTCACAAGCTGGCGCACCCATCGCTACCAAGCGCTGTGGGGAATGCGGGGGCGGATTGATGGATGCTGCGTGACGCTTGCAAAAGGGGCTGGGATTTGCGACACAGATTCGCTCGGACTTACGCATTGGGGTATATTGGGATATATGATATATTGGGATGCTTGAGGTTTTCCTTTGGGTTTGGTTACTTCAGTCTTGAAAGATGGGGATTATTGTGGATATTTGTGGATATTTGTGGATGCTGTATTTGGCCATATTTGGCCGGTTTGATCAGGGAAAAGGACGAGAGCATGGCATCATATGGCATCGCATCAGTTGGCACGCGTCTCGTGGGGGTTTCGGAGCCGACCGCGAGGCCAAGGAGATCAAGGCCGCCATCACGGGTTTCACGGAGGAGCTCCAGGAATCTCCAGGAAGCTGACGGGCGGGCGGCGAGCCAACGCGAGCCATATCACATCGACCTTTTTGTTGAACATCAATTCAACATCTGCATCCAGCTGCCATGAGCGGAGGAATCCAAGATCACTTCAATTCACTTCATATCACTTCCCAAAGTTACAAAAGTTCTTTCGGTCCAACATGCCAGACCCGAAGCTGTAAATACACTAACCACATCTAACCACCCAGAACCACGTTGCCCACACCAAATTGTCAGGTTTCGCTTCGTTGGTGGTTTGGATTGGTGGGAACTGGGAATTTCAACCCCTGGTTCTTGTTGAGGGTAAATGCGAAACCTGGCTCCAAACATCTCCAAACCACCACTTAGTGGAAAACTGAAATCAGCGTGCCACAATGGCTCTGGCTTTGACCTAGGAAACCCTGGAATATCCTGGAATGATGACTCCCCGATAAACTCCGACAAGCAATTGTTTCCTGTGGTTTTCAGAGTGGTGCGAACATGTGCGAACGGATTTGTCCATCCACTGCATCTGAAATATGGGTGTGCCACACACGTGTGGGGTGTTCTTCAACGGGGCACTCCCGTCTTTTTCGCTCAATGGGAGGCCAGTGAGTGTTTGGACTTAGATGTGACTTTCTAGGGATGGGATTTCAGACAAATTATCTGGTATATCTTTTGAATTCTTTTGAATTCTTTTGATATCTTTTATTATCTTTTCATGGTTTCATGGTTTCACTGATATCTTTTCAAATACCTTTTGATTGGTTGGGGGCCCTTTGAGTGGGATCTTTTTTTTCCCTTGGAATCTGTGATAATCTGTGCGCATGAGATGATGCTTTCGCTTACGATGGAATTGCTGGAAGTCTTTGGGGTTGGGGCGGGTTCCCCGACCATTGGCCCACATTGGCCCTCTATTGTCTTCCATTTGCTGAATAATAATTCTGTATTTTCCCCTGTTGGCTTCGAAGATCTTTGAAGGGTATCTATCCCGCGCTCAACCCGTGCCAGGTGCTGAGCAGTGCCAAGCGCCGGCCGCGTGGCCGCGAGGTGGACAGAAAAAGGTGCGAACCCACGCAAAATCATGGCAAACCCAATCAAACCCATGCAATCCCATGCAATACTTTTTGGCGAAGCCATGGTTTATCATGTTTTGTTGGAAATGCGAGCATCTTGCATATGTGATTTTCATGGGCTTCACACCCCTAAAGCGTATAGTGACCCCCCCCCCTCATGAACGCCTCGTAGACGTGGGGATGGGCCAAGTGTATAAGATAATCAGCCATGTTATCTTAAAGTGTTTAAAGGGTGGTTCACTTGAGAACCTATGCAGGTAAATGAACCCTCTCAGCCAAGTTTTCAAAGGGCACTTCCCCTTTTCAGAACCCAGTTGAAGGATTCTTTCTTTGCCAGAGGTCCGCCCCTTCAAGCACCCATGTTTGAATGGCATGAGATGAACCTCAAAATGACGGCATTGTTCCATTGCATTTCCTTTGTGTGACCCACATGGGATCAATTCTAGTTTTATTCGTGACACCCTTGTTTCGACTTGCGTTATCCCTTCAAGTTGACGGCTTCTACTTCTGTTTCTCTTTTGTTCTTCGCTTGCCGTTGGCTACAGGGTCCTACCTCCCAACCCCTCTTCGTTTTCTCAAATAAGACAGGCCTCAGTGCCTTTTTGGGTGAGCTTTGTTCGTTCAGAAGTTGTGCGGGGTGTCGGCGGCTGCGGCGCTTCTCCTTTCTCTGGCCATACGTTTCCTTTTGCATTTGTTGTTATACTATATGAGTGAGTGAGTGCGTGGGTGCGTGGGTGCCTGGGTGCTGCGTCGGTGCGTGGGTGGGTGGGTGGGTGGGTGGGTGGGACGGTGGGTGGGTGGGCAAAGGCTCATCACAGTCAGGAACTAGCTGGCCCAGAATGAACACATGAGCACATTGTTTTTAATCTCGCATCTTCGCAAACACCTGCCAAAGAATTATTCTATGGCGAGATTCCACTGAGTGGGTCGGTCCTTTTCTTTGATAACCTGAAGGGTCATACAGACATAAAAAGGGCCCGAAACAGTTGAGACAATTGCTGATTTCTTGCCTCACGGGGGGAGCTGTTTTGGACATGTTCCTGTTGCCCTTTTACCCCGTCGCCTTTATCCCACGGTGGCCCCCGAATGAGAGGGTTCCCTTTTTAATGTCAACCTATTAATGAGAGGACCCTATTAATGAGAGGAACTGCTAAATACATAATTCCTTACGGTAGTTGACATTAACCGCCGGAAAGTTGGATCATGATGGGGTCCCCCCCAAAGCCCCTTGAGACTTAGTGAGGCTTGGCAAGCGTTAGCCCATTTTGGGGGGATATGTTCGGAGTGAATCCATAAGATGGCCAGTAGTTTGCCAAGCCTTTTGACACTGGTTTTCGTGGATCCGGGTACCTCTGATTTTCCTTTTTGTTCGACAGCCTTGCCCAAGGCCTTGCCATCTCGCTCGCGAATGAGGCAGGCAGCAAGTCCGCTTGCGCCAGACTCCTTGGATTGGGGTGCACAATCCCCAGCCGCCGTTTTTTTCTTAAAACAAATAACATGGGTGTGCCTCAACATGCAGGCGAATCCCGAAAAATACCTGTGGCGTCCTTTAGCCTCCCCTAAAACCAACCCTAAAATGGGTACCCTCAACAGAAGACACGTGCGGCGAGTTGTCCAGGGATTACCCTCTCCAGAAACATGGAAAACCCAAAAAGGTTTCTCTAAGACGACTTTTCTAGGGGCCTCCATGGAGCTCTGTGCGCTTCCATATTGGGAGGGGAGTTGCAGTTGCACCAAGTGACGGCATGCCAGGCTCGACTTGCCAAGTGGTTACCAATTAGTTGCGCTGCAATAAGTAGAATGGGGTTGTGAGTTTTTTTGAATGCCAAATTGAGTCATGATCATAGGAGCATGAATGTGGTTGACAAGCGCAGCCCCCCCTCCCCCCGGAACAAAACAAACACAAAACAAAATAGACCATTTAGGGGGTGCTCAAAAATATGTTCCAAGGCTCCCTTCAAGTCACCATTTGGGGCCTCATTTGGATGTCACCAAACTAAAAGCAACATGTCGCGGGTCATTTCGGACCCGGCTGTGCCTGTCGCGTTTGTCGCGTTTGTTGGTTGGAGGTGTTTTTTTTTTTGGTTTTTTTTCTCCGGGGGCCTCCGCGGAACTTCGCCCAGCTTTTTAGGGACAGTGGTTCCGCGGTGCAGGTGGTGATGTACACGGACAAGGCCAAGAAGCTGGCGGGTATGGCCGTGCAAGAGCAGGAGCCACTCGGAAATTCGCCTCCAAGTAAGCGCAGGGCTCAAGGCAAGGCACTCTCTCCATACTGCGGATGGCCGAAATCCTGCACCAGCTAATAGACCCTGGAAGGATGATACCCCTGTAAATACCAACGAACAATGGTTTCCCATGGTTTCAAAGTGGTGCAGGATTTCGTCGATGCACAGTAGGTTTCCCTTTTGGATTTGTTTAGGTGAGTTTGTTTGAAAATGGATGGCGCTGGTTTTCCTTTGGTTCTTGTCATTTAGGAGGATCTATTTTCCCGAAGGACGACCTGTGACTCACTCAGTTTTCCACTTGAAAGTTTCTCAGATTCCTAAGAAAGCAAGGCGAAGTAACATGGAACCCAGGGAGGTACGTTTCAATTCCTCTAAAGATGGTCTCTTTTCAGATTCAATCCTCAGAGCAACGAGCTTCGGTAACACGAGCCGTGAAGGTGGGATGCTCCGACCCTCCAAGGACCCATGGGTCGGGATCGGATCCGACGAGCCGAATCTTGGGACCTGTTCAAGCCTTTGGAGATCAAGCTGTGGATGGGCGAGATCCATGCAACGCACCACTCTGAAACCAGGGAAGCCATTTGTGGGCAAAGGGGAATTATCCTTCCAGGGTTTCCTAGGTGGTGCGAATCGGATTTCGTCCATCCACAGTAGGTGTCCTTTATTCAGTTAGTTTGAAGAGATTAAATCGATGGCTTCTGGCTAGTAAACTAGATTGCTTAGATGGCATGTAGATGGCTGCTTCCTTCCTTTGGAATCCAGTTTGCTTAGTAGATGGCTTCCACTGGCCCAGATTCGTTTTCTGCCCCAACCAGGGCTATGGGCCCTCAAGAGCTCGCCTTCCGCGCCTCGTCAGACGCAAGGGGGGAAGGCGTGGGCACGGGGCGAAAACTGTCGGAATGGTCAGGAGACGTCAAGCCCAGTGCTGGCCGCGAAGCACATGTTGGAGGCGACGTGGCTTTGGGGCCTTTGGGGGCAACTTGTCAACTTGCCCCACTTAATTATTTGAAAATGGAGTTAAGGGAGGGGTGATTTTTTGGGAATTGGAGGCTCCCCCCTACAGCAGGGCCCCTTGCCCTTCCAAGTTTCCCGGCATCTTTCCTAAGGAAAGTTTCAAGGGCTTTTTGGCAGGTGCCACTCTGACCCAAAACCGAAGGTCTCAAAGGAGTCAAAGGAGATTCCATTTCTAAAATTTAATGAATCGGACTTGTGGATACACCTGAACAAAAAGCACACACCCCTTCGGAGATATCGTGTTTTTATCGAAGCTTGAGCAGGAGCCCACGTAAAAGCCAAACGAAGATCACTTTCAGAGGTCTGCTGTGGATGGACAAAATCCGCTTCAGGCACCACTTGGGATGGATGAACCCCTATACACTAAGCAAACCTCCTACCAAGTGGTGCGAAGTGGATTTTGTCCATGCAGTATGTTGAGACACCCAACTTCCCCCCAAACCGTGTCCTTCATTCCGCTCTCAGGGCGGCCATTCTCTCCCAAAACGCTGAATGCACACGCAGGGGGCATTGTCAAAAGCAGGGCTCTGGGGTTATGTTGCGCCTGAGTTTGTTTCTATAGATTGCTCCGAGTGATGATCAAACAAGGGCGGAAGATTGGTCAATGGTGTGCTTTGGTTTTAGCTTGGGCTTCTTTAGCATAGGTTGTTTCCATGTGTTGTTTTTCCGGAAGGCTGTTTGTTGCCCAAAATCATTTTAGCCTATTCAAGTAGGTGAAATATTTGGAGTCCCTAAACAGGTCGTAGCCAACAAGCTCCAGCTTGCACCGAAGGGCAGATCATGTGTGTAGCATTCGAAAGGAACCACATTTGTGATCAAACCCATACGGGTCACAGTCAAGCTGCTACTCCTGGTGGCCTAGTATCCTAGACCACAGTGTTTCCTGTTTTTTTTCTTGTTTTTGTCCCTTCTTTTTTTTCTCCTTTTTTTCGCTTTGTGTTGAGGGGTTTGCCTTTCAACTTAGCTGCCTCCCGTTTTTGTCCCACGCAAAATTCTAGGCTTCGGGGGACGGACGCGAGCCCTGGTTTGGTCCAAACGGCTTCGGCCAGGCTCACAAGTTGATGCACATCGCAAAGGAGAAGAAGGCCGGGGAACCTACTGCACCGTTGGGCATGCGTTGGAGCGCAAAACCGATTCCCAAAGGGGCCTTGGCTTTGGTGCTTCTACTACCTGGTTCAGTAACTTAGTAACTTCTGCATAATGCTGACCCCATATGAATCAACCCTAGTTTGCTTCAGGGGGCGTTTCTGGGTTTAGTGGGGAACCATCACTTTTGGAGAAAAGCACCCCCTATTAATAAACTGGGGTTGATTGACATGGGGCCAACATTAACCCTTCCTAACCATGTTGCTCATGTTGCTAGAACCACAGGTCAATGGGTGTTGGACGCTGCTCCTGAGTGGTTTCCTTGGGGACCCCAAACATCTCATTCCCGAAACACCTGCAAGGATCGAGGGACACACATTAAGCAAGGTTTTTGGGAAATGGAGAAGGGCTCCAGTGGGAACATCTCAATTGATGCCTCAAGCGAGTCAGCTTCCCAGGTCTGTTTCTCCGAATTTCTGGGAGAAACCGTTGGGGACCCCATAGAAAAAGGGCGCAAAGATTGAGACAACCAAGCCCTACCTTTAAAGCAGGTGCAACTTCCCTTTGGTCAAGGTCACCCTTAGCCGCAACCGGGCATCGTGCCATCTACTTCCACCCAGTTGTGAAAAGCTCGCTTTCAAACACCCTCGACCTGAAACATGGAAGTTCCCAGGTATGGAAAGTAAGGGTCTCAAATCGCTGCATACTTTCACCCGGCAACTCATTCCGTGGGTTTCTGAAGTCGACAAACCTTTCGCCACCATCGAGTCCATCCCATTCCATTTCCCTTAGATCAAGGGAACTTGAAGGGAACATGACTTGCCTCCCATCCCGGACACCCAGTATCACCCACTTGTTTCCTCCTGTTTGAGGGGCTTCAACCACCAAGCCAAAAAGCGAGCGCCCCCCCCATTTTTCGGCGCCCATTCCCCTGGTTTCTCATAGGCATCTGGAGCGCGTCTGCTTTTTGTCGCGCCCAAAAAAATCAGGTTGCCCCTGGTTTCATCAATTCTTGGTTTCCCATACACCTGGAGTCCTGGAGCGCGTGAATTTTTTTCGGGGCCAAGTCTCCTGGTTTCCGATCCTCTCCAAGAGGCCCGGGCGCTGCGGGTGAAAGAACTCGCCGAGCGCCTGGCCAGCGAGACGCTGCCCAGCTACCAGCAGGCCGGGCTCTCGAAAAAAAAGCGAGCGCGAGCTGAGCGCCCGAGCGGGGCGGTGAAAAGGTGTTGGTGGTTTTGGGGCGCCCCTCCCCACGTAGCTGAGCTCCAAATCGCGCACACCCTGTGATTGAACGTGGGAAGAAAAAAAAACGCACCCCCATGCTACTTGCACGCCTGGTAACCTAAGTGGGTTGAACACCGGCTGTTTCAATTGGGTGCGGCAGTCAAGAAGCGATGGTGTCTCCCGGGGGAGGACAGTTATTGGGTCGACTTGAAGGACATCCCATGGGGACACAGGACATTTGGGAGCGGGTTATGATCATGCCAAGAGGCCATATCTTTGTATTGCATGCCTACTCAGGTGCGTTGACCACCAAACCAGACATCCAGACATCCAGTCATCCAGTGCTGCCTTGTACATTTTTTTTGAGGAGGTGTCCCTTCAAAACCAAGTTCTAAAAAAATGAGTCCAGTGCTGCTTTGTCCCTCCCTTTTTGAGGATGAGTGCCTTTCTTTTATTTCATGGAAGTACACTTCTAGGGGTTGATACCCCATTCTCGGAAGTCTGGACACGCGTCCTCTGGATTTTGCGGGTTCCCCCAGATAAGCGTGCCTTCTCAAGGGCTGGCATGTTGGTTTGTCAGCCTTGGCTCTGTCCTGATACTTTTAGGCATTACCAGTTCAGAGGCATCACCAGCATCAAAGGCATAACCAGCATCAGCAGCAGCACAGGCATCACCAGCAGCCATGGATGCGGATTTGCACGTCACACATCGCCAAACAAAACAGACTCATATTTTTTTCCGGGCCTTCTCCGGATTTTGCGGGCCTTCTCCGGTTTTGCGGGCCTTCTCCGGTTTTGCGGGCCTTCTCCGGGTTTGCGTGCTCCCCCAACCTCTGCGTGCTCGCTCATTTTTATTTTTATTGTTCAAAAAAACTAAAAAGTTGAGAAGGCACTGTCCACTTGGGAAAAGCCTATGGCCAAAAATGAGGTACCTTACAGTAAAAACGCACATCGGCTTTTCCCCGGGGTATCGTGCCTTCTCAGTTTTTTTTTTTTATTTTTTTTTTTTTTTTTTTTTCGGGCGGTTCCCCCAAGCCGGTTCTGCGTCGCCCTGATCGGATCCCCTGTTTGATTTCTTGGGGATCCTAGCTGGTTTTTGACCACAGGGAAAAAACAAGGTTTCATTTCCAGTCCCAGGGGCCCAGATTGCTTGTGAAACAGCGCCTAAAGAGAAAGAGTACTCAGCGCGTTGAACCTTCGTGTGAGGGGGGGACAGCTGGGAAAGCAATCATCAAGTAAATTTATGTCTGGGTGTAAGCGCCCTTTAGAGCGGTTCCAAGAATTGAGAAGGCATGGTCCCCTGGAGAAGCCTCGGGGATGGGGGTCCAGACCCTCGACATTCTCTTCAACCATCGTTCTTTTCAACAACCGGCTGTTTCCCGGGTTTTGCTGATGGTTTCCTGAAAAGATTCGGATCCCTGGGTTCAGAATGCAAATGGAAGCTACCCCTGGACCACCGGGGGTCTGTAGAGTGCCTTCAGGCGGTGGAGACGGCGGCCACCCACGCCGCAGCAGCCTTCGCGGGGCTGCAGCTGAAACAGCCGCCCGGCCGATGAAGCAGTCGGCTTTGGAAAAACTGGGGCGGTCGTCCTTCGGGAAAATTGATGGCACTCGTAAATGACAAGAACCAAATGCAAACCAGTGCCCTCTATTTTTCACAAACTAACCTAACCAGATTCAAGGAGGACACCTACTGTGGATGGAAGAAATCCTGCACCGCTTGGAAACCATGGGAAACCATTGTTTGTTGGCATTTGCAGAGGAATCATCCTTCCAGGGTTTCCTAGGTGGTGCAGGATTTCGTCCATGCACAGTAGGTGCCCCCCAATGGGCGTCTTACTGGCTATGCATCATAGGGATTCAGGCATTCCCAAGCCAACCGGAAAAGTGTCTTCAGAAATACAATGACACAACAAGTTGCGATGGGATTGTAGAGTAAATACCTGATGGACAAACTCCCGCACCAATTGGGATGGATGAAGCCCGATACGTGTTTTTGTTCCTTCTCGGATGAACCACCTAACAACTCAGGGTTTTGTCCGTCCACAGTATGCTCAGCTACAGGTTCCCTAAACTTACTTGCCCAAAGTGAATCGACCTTTGAACCCTTTGGCTTGCCCATCTTGAACCATTTTTAGTCAACAGTAAAGCTCTTCTTCTTTTTTTTCTGGGTTCTTTGGGCAACTGAGCACCCATATGGATTCATAAGCAGTTGCATGCTGTGGGTCAAAACCGATGGGATCCCATTTTGAGGTAGGTGCACCACCCATGTTAGTCTAGTTTAGTGGGGATTCATGAATTGTTGTTGGGCAAAAGCTGAGGTAGGGTGGTTCAGTGGCATCCTCTGCTGCTTGTTCTTTGGTGGGTTCCATCATTCGAGGCATCTTTTGGAGGGTCTGCAGGCGAGTTCTGATATTGCAGGGGAACCTTCCATGCGTCAATTGCGTGCACGTGCGTGCGTGTGTGTGTGTGTGTGACTAGATTAAGACCGACTACATGATTTCACAATGTTGTACTGCGGATTACGAAGCCATCATGTTTGGGTTGCATGTGATTTTTTTTGGGGGGGATGGCATTTATTTGAACCACTTTTCCACTCTAGTGGCAAACAACAAGTTTGGTCTTTATTTGGCCAAGCCACCCGATGGGAAGTGAATGTAGAAAAAGTGACGTTCAGACAAGTCTTCCGCATGACCAGAACACAAGTGATGCAGCACCAGTTGTTCAGAAGTTCAGGACCCCATTTGTTTGGCTTTTCCAACCACAACTCGAATCGACCCCAAAAGAAGATGACCTCTTGCATTGCATCCTCTTTTCTTCAGGGGTCACGCCTTGCATCCACCCTTTGGCTCCTGAAAAAGGAGGCACTTGAGCCACTTCTGGGTCTGGGCCATCTTACCATCTTATGGTGGGTCTGACCCCTGCAGAGCAGGCTCGCCTCAGCAGGTACGGTGGGTGGCGTGAGCAAGAACTGCTGCGACAGCAGGGAAAGGCAGACGCAGACATGAACGGGCACGACATGAACACCAGGAATTCGCCGTATCTTCTGGTGACTCTGCTGCTGGCGGCCGCCTTGAGACAGGCAGGCAGATTGCATGGCCTGAAGGGGGAGTGCTGCAAGGCAGAGGACGTGGAGCGAACCGTGGAATTCTTTACGCGGAATGCCTTTTGGGCTCCAACGTCTCCCAGGTGACTGCACGATTGAGCAGTTCTTCATATGTCCTCCCCTGGCAGATGGTTCTACTACATGGGTTCGGATAGGTTATGGTAAGGCATATACAAGCCTCTAGAAGCATTTTGGTAGAATCAACCGTCGATGGGTTTGGGCGCTGCTCCTAGGTCGACGACTAAGTTCTGGTTGGTTCCAATGGAAGCCGCAATGAAACCAGCCGCGGGTTTTTTGCTTTTCGACAAGCCTCGGTGGCTTCCCCCTCTGAGTTTGCCTGTGGCCCGAAAGATTGCCAAGTTGGCAAGTAAGGAAGGAGTAGAAGCAGGCCTGAAGCTGAGAGGTCTATCAACTGGGTTGCCTCTCTAGCAAGAAAGGTTAGCACATGCTTAGCACATGCTTAGCACATGGTTAGCACATGTTAGCACATGGTTAGCACATAGAACTCCAGTGGAGTGTTTTTTGTGGCCCGCGAGCTAATCACTTTGAAGGGGAATCAAGTCCAACGCCCAATTGTGGCCCATTTGGTTGAAATCTCCAAATGTCGAACCGTACCTAACTGACTGTCTCGCTTGGCCAAGGCGAATATACCCTTTCACGCTTTGGGTCTAAACGGTTGACCTTTTTCTTTCCCGGTCCTCTTGGGCAATTCCCCAGTGCCCTTCTCTCCCCATTGGGGGAGGGTTCCCCTTAAAATAGGCAGAAAAAGTGGGTGCCCTTCGAACCTCTCAAATCTGGACCTAGTAAGAGACACCTCACCGCCTTTCGGTCCGAAGGTGTTGCTCACCTGTTCGCTTCGAGGCGCTCCACTCGCCTCCGCCGCGCGTGAGAGGTTCTCGGATTTTCGCCGCGTCCGACAGCGGCGGAACCAAAACGAAAATCGGCCGGTGGAGGTGGGGTCGGGAGAAGGGCTGAGAAACCAAAGTCGCCTCCCGAATTCTGGTTCGGACTTTAGGCACTTGTGGGGTTTGGACCATGTTAGGGGTAATCAAAGGGTCTGGGCGGTTTTACTTCCGACGTTGGTTCGCTAATGAACTCAGGAAGTGAGTAACTGGACTTGAGACTTTTAGGGGCCAAGCTGTGAAACTTACTTGCATATTTTTGGACTTGATGGGGAAGGGAGGGGACTGTGTTCCAATCCACTGACCAGTGTGGATCACAACCGGAAAGAAAAAAAAGACTAATTTGGTGTGACGCGCTCGGTCAACTCCAGGGCCTCAATGATTTTTGCTTCCAGGGTGATGGAGCAAGTTGTTGGTTTTGACAAAACCGCCCTGGAGAGCTTGGTGTTCGGAAATTGTAAGTTGCTTCCTTGAAAAAGAGCTGCGAGTATTCATGGCATGAAGGCGCCTTCTTCTCGATTGGCTCCACAAGGAAAAATAACTTGGCTTCTGCTACACTGCACAACCCTCCAAGTTCCTGTCGGCATCAACCACAATGATTCTGGAGACTTCAGTGTTTGTCCTCGATTGAAGTAGCATCCAAATTTGACACATTTACGCTGAGCTAGCCTGACATTCAATGACTTGCATCCGACATTCCAGTCTTGGTTCCTTGTTTTGCCACAAACCCATTTATTCAACCATTCACCTGGCGTTGCTGGCTAGGGGTCAGGAAGCCCTGAACGTAGACAAACATCAGTGCTTGTGGTAAGTTGTACCTGCAAATCTCGTACCGAGGGGTCAACATGATTGATTCCCCGCCCCATTCTTTTCTTTGGGCTGCTTTGAAAATGGAGTGTGGGCCTCCTCATCAACCGTTTTTGTTTGGGAGGGACGCCACTAGAAAGCTTTGTCTCTCTGCCCGAGTTCCCTTTCGGACTTTAGTCACTTTTCCGGGGGTTGGTCATTTCAGTGGCCAACAACAAGTTCTGACTTTTGGTCCATCCACTCGATCGGAAGTGAGTCTTTGGGGTCCAGGTTTGCCTTTCGCCGTGGTTTTCCTGAAGCAACTGAGCCTTTTCCTTGAGCCAAAAGGGCATCCCCATTTTTGAGAAGACCCACTTGAGAGTGCTTAAATATATGGCAACCACCAGGACATGATAGCCATAGCTAAGCGATCTCTCGAAAGCTTCCACATGTGAGAGGTGAGGCTTGCGCAGGAATTTGGCAGCCAAGGTTTGTTATTTTAAATGTAGCAAAGTATTTAATTTGCCAATCATCCACGTCACCAGCAATTGCCAGCTTTTGAGATGCCAAAATCACAATTTTAGTTCTGCCATGGAAAGTCAAGCCAAGCTTTTGGGGCCTGCTGTTGAAGAGCGAAACCCGGCGTGCGCCTTCGGATTCAAGCTTCGACCGCCAGTTTCTGGCTCTAGCTTCTTATCCGTTTGAGCAAGCCAGCGATGAGCGCCATTTCGTTGCCGACCAGCGCCTTGCCGAGGGGCAAGAGGAGGGAGCTGCCATGGAAACCAAGGTATCTGAAGGTGTGTAAGGGGCAGACACCATGTTAATGCCAGGCTTTGATTATGACTCACGTGCGACTACAGTGGCCCTCCATTATGTTTCTCTTGAATAAAGTCCGCCCTTCCAATTCTGTTGTGTACGCTTTGCACCAAACGGGAAATTAAACCCAAACAGGGGTTGCACGTGTTGCCTTTCGAGCCGCGTCTTGAAACAGCTCGGTTTTTTTTTCCGCTGAAACCTTTAGGGTCTTCGGGCCAAGGGGAGTGACTCGGTTTAGGATCCGAACAAGATGATCCGGTACCCTTCCGTGAGAATCGGACAAGAGGCTAACAGGGTTGGGTGCCCCCCATCGGCAAAAACAGGTGGTTCCAAAAACCATGCCCAGGGCAAATAGGTGTTTTTGGCGTAGGCCCGCATCCTTGAGGCTATTGCAGGGAAGCAATGAGCGTTTCGGCGAGTTCCGCATCCCCATCTCCAGAGTGGCTGCCACTGCCGCGCCTGGCGAAGGAGGCAACGATTGGTCTCCCTAGGCTCAAGTTCCATGTGCCATGTACAGGTACTTTCACCATTTCAAGCCTCAAAATCGCATTCTCAGAGGGTACTTAGTCCAGGTCCCCCAGTAGTGCCCTTTCACCGATTTTTGTTGGGGGGGAGGGTTTTGCTGCTGAAGTAGACAGAACAAAGTAAAGGGGACCCTTCTTCTAACCTCACCGGAGGACCTAGTGACCCTTTGCTTGAATCAAGAGCCATGGGAGTCCATCGAAAATGATGGACCGATCGAAAGCCTCCAAAGCTCGGAGCGGTTGTGTCGAAGGGGGGGTCATGTGGGTTCCCTTAAGCCAAAAAGGGTGTCCGAGAGAAAGCTCAGGGCCAGAAAAGGCCTCAGACCTTGCAGTTCTTTCTCTTCTTGATTCAGAGCCAGAGCTATTGGAGGCTATCCACGGAGGCTTAAATGGGAACCAACTGCAAAGAGACACCAAAGGTAGCCCAATTTGGCGGGAAGGGAAGGCGTTCCGATCAAAGAGTTCCTGAAGTCTTTTCCGGGATTCGATCAATTGGGAGCATCACTCCTATACTATGTGTAGCATCCTGGCCCAGCGAATCCATTTGCGGGTATAATTAAAGGGAATCCAATTTAAGCGCAAGAAGGATACCCTCCCATATATAGCACCTGTGATCACTTTCTTGCCGGGACCCCCTGTCAGGTGCCATCGTTATGTGGGAGTGTGTGCACTAGCTGGTTACCATTCCGATTTCGGAGCAACTGGCGATGGCTCCGTTCAGGAGATGCACGTTGCGGGCCTGTGCGTGCCCTGCTTGTTCCACCGCAGCAAAGCGGATGGCTGTCGGAAAGGCCGGTTTGACCAGTGTGGACCACCGTGGGGCTCAAAGTTCGTGGGAGGAATGTTGAGTTCTCAGCTCTGCGGTTGTTTGGAGTTGGTGTCTCAGGCCCAGTTTTCCAACGAAAAACACACGTTTCCTTTTCGACATCCACTCACTCCCTGAGTTCATGGACTTTATACTTTTTGGGAAGACCATTTTGGTGGTAAACAAAGAGTTTGGACTTTTTTTGGCCAATCAACTCAGGAAGCGAGTCCATGTTTATGGACCCTGGGTCTAACAAGTAGGGCCCCCCAGACGCGCATGTTGGACACTGGGATGGTTCCCGCGGTCTCTTGACACCCCGGTTGTGGCACCCGCATAGGTTTCCTTTCGGGTTGTTTCGGCGGAAACAAAGATGGCGATTCCTGGTTTACCCGGTGGTTTCATTATTTGCCAGGGCGGTGTATTTCCGTTTTTCCCAAGTTCTTGGTCACGTGTTGATAAAAGGGCCGTGCTACGGTGGCTAGTGTTCCACTTTGCCTTGCTTTTGATCTGCTATTTCCAGGGCAGAACGCGGCCCTTGTCAGGACTCCTATTGCGCTCTGTTCGCCGTGATTGCGGGGTATGGTCATCGCTTTTGTGGGTCATGGTCGCATGGGTTCCCAGAGGAACCTTTACATTGCTTGTCTAAGATCCTGTTTTGATGCCCATCCCTGCCAACCCCAAGCAAAGCCTTCATCTGTTGCCCGCCCAACCAACATATATGGTTGATTCTGGCCCATATGAAGTGAACCTTTAAACGCAAGAACGTTTGTTTGGAGATCCACGGAACGGAGTTTTCTGTTTTAACCATGGCACATATAGGCCCTGACCAGAGTTGGTATCACAAAGCTACAGAAGTCTTTTTGTAGGTGGTGGTGCATTCGGGATTATATCGAGGATCGTACAAAGCATACGCAGACTGTAGCCTGACTGTATCGAGCCCCAAGTCCATTGGGTTAGGCCAGCAACATACTCAGTGGAGGGGTTGGAGGTTGCTTTGCGACTAAAACCCCTTAAAACGAATGAATACCCCGAATTCAAGATTAGCCATGGCACATTTAAGCCTTCTCAAACTGAAAAGCCCTACAATGGTTGGATTCTTGCTGGTTTCCCTTGGAATACCACCCAAAAAGGAGGTCCACCATTCTGAGAAACCTCCAAAAGATACATTCAGAATTCGCCCACACAGATCCTCCAAATCAACCGGTGAATGTGATTAGTGGCCATTATCGGGTTTATATGTGTATATATATATATATATATCTAAACAAACCATGCGTCTCTCTGAAAGCCAAAAACCCATTTTTTTTACAAACCCAATGTTTACTTCTTTTTTATATAAGACCAGTCAATGCACTTTCGGTTGTATATATACGTATACATCTATGAAGCACAAAACGCCAAGATGTACTCTTGGTGACATCCCTGGCTTCCCCCATGAGCGACTCTCCAGGCGATGCCTGCAGCCACTGCCACTTCTGCAGCCGTTCGGAGGTCTCCCACCGGCGCAAGGCGCTGCACCTGCAGATGAAGCGGAAGGACGCCCAAGACTCTCAGGGTTGATTCCCCATGATTTTCAGCCATCGTTCTTTTCAAGAACCGGATCTGTTTCTCCAGGGCTTCTGGAAAGAATTTTCGGAAGAGAGCCCCGAGAAAGACGGCGCGGTAAACCGCAAATCGGTGGATGTTTGGATTGGTTTGCAACATCGTGGCTCCTCCACCCCCACCCTAAGAGAAAAAAGGGGGGGGGTCTGGGACCCAATTCCGCTGTCGGTTTTCTTCGAAGACAATGGAACCATGAAGGGAATTCCAGGGGTCATCACTTCCCCCAATTCCATGTTTAGGGGGGTGGGGAGTCAGGTAACCCTCAATCGGTGGTTTGGGTTGGCGGGTTAGATTTTGATTTGAACGGGTCCATGCTTCTTGCAGAGGGCAAATGGAACAAACTGCGATGAGGTACGTCGGGCAGGGTTTCCGAGCCATTTCCCTTTTTGGAACCTCCAAAAACGGCGATCGTTTCAATGAAAGCCACTCGCAAATTGAGCAACTGAACCTAACATATATTCCTCAAACTAATTTTGGTGTTCCATCATTTTCCCCCGGCA